GGCGCTTCACGTTATCTCTGACTTAGGTTTGGCACGACACAGGCCTTGGCTGTTCCTTTTAAAGGCTCCCCTGCTCCCTGCCTGCTGCTCCAGCATCCCGATCCTTAGGGCGTGCAGCTCCTCCCCTTGCGGTGGGGCTCTGACCTTGTGAAAGCGGCCCTGGCTGGGGCTGTGTGGTGGCACTTGGCACGTTGGCATCTGGGAATCAGGTCCAGGTACGTGACTCAGTTACTGCAGCTCAGTCAATTGCTGCCGGGCAGTGCGTGGCTGTCGCTGCGGGTGTGCGGCTGCCTCCTGCCTCGTGTTGGAGCGGGCAGAGGATGGTGAGTGGATCCTGTACGGCCCCAGCTCGTGCTGCCAGAGGCAGCTGTGCCCAGTGGTGCCAGGAGCCGGGGAGGGTGGGATGGAGGTGCTGGGGGTGACCGACACAGACCCAGCACGTGGGTCGCAGCACCAGATGCCTTAGTGTGGGTGGGCAGGGCTGAGCCGTGTCCCACGGCGCTCCCACACCGCGCAGCCGCAGGGCAGGAACACATTCCCTGTGGTGGCTCACGGGCCTGGCACGCAGCTTCCCAGCCCGACTGTATCCGACCTTCCTCAGTCAAACGTCCGCGCGCCTCCACAGCAGGGACTCTGCGGGAGCATCAGGCAGCCACTCATCCAGCTGCCCGCCCCATCCATGAAACTCCCCTCCCAGGACTCCATAACCATCACAGCCCCGTTCCCACCTGTGTAACACGCGACTGGATTTTACAGCGTCACCCACGGGCTTCTGTGGCGGGGCGTGGGGGGGTGGGGTCTTTGTGCGAGTTCGCTGTCCGTGTGCCTCAGGCCGTGGATTTTTAAACAAACCAGCAAACCCAACCGGGGCTCGGGCTGGGGGTTTGGAAAGCGGCATTCCCGGTGCGGTCCATCACATCCAGGTGGCTCCGCAGCTCCAAGTCGGTTTAGTTACAAACACCGAGAAAAAAACCCACCACATTGTGCCCAGCGGAAGGGAGGGGCCCCAGGAGCCCCCCGGCCATGCAGGTTTGTCTGGTCCGTTCCTGGGCATCCTCTGCTGCGTTTGACTGTTTACACTCGCCTCGTTGTACATAGTTTGTGAACGTTCTCGCCCTGCCCGAGAGCTCTGTACATACCTTGGCCTTTGGAGCTTTATTTATTCAGGATCCGTACGGCATGTTTCCATAGGACCGTGTACCGTACCACCGTGGTGACGCAGATCATGATGTGGTTCAAAAAAACCAGAAACAGATGAGAGTAACCTTCCAAAATAAAGTTCTTTTAACGTGAACTCTGTGGATTTTGCAGAAGCAGTGGCAGTGGCTGTATTTTGTATTTTGAGCTCCAGGGCTGGGCTGGAGGCGCTGCCCTGTATCTCCTGCTCCCCCTTCCTTTGAGAGTTGCTTCAGAATCCAGGTTGTTCCAGGTGCTGCTGGAGCTGCTGGACCAGCGGCTGCGAAAAAGC